CAAAAGGTCGTAAAGTGGAGAAATGATTGAGACCCGAACTTGTATTGGACGATCAAATCACCTCATCAGATGACCCTGAGGGGCAAAAGTTGAAAAAACTTCACCAGGAAACCTTCGAAGATAGTGAATGTACTATACAATTCAAAGATTCATCCATTGCGCTCTTGTTGACCCCAAATTCTCCGACCCGGATGAGTTTTCTGCTTTGATTCTAGACAAGTCCAAAGGATCCTCCGAAGAGAGTGAAGGTACTGGTAGTGAAGATCGGTAGGTGATCTGTGATAACCTAGATCAAGGAATACTTGTAATTTTTATTTCCAAATCAAAAGAAAAAAAATACTTCTAACTGTTTTTCATATATGAAAAACTTGATCATTTTTGCTTGTTGTAATTTGTTTAGAATCGCAAGCGAGTCAGCCATCTTATTCGGTCGCCAAAAGTTTCCAATTCAACTTATTCGATCGAATTGTCACCTTCAGAGAGACTTACATCTGGGGCGATCTCTATGAAATATTGCAGACCCTTAGGGCTAAATACGTATTTTCACACCGACGAAACATTAGTTTTAAGGATCTGATCGATTTGAATCTTCATTTGATAATCAAATTATAATTTCAAAGATTTGTCAAACAAATTGACCAAAAATTTCTATCAGTTGTAAAAAATTTAACGGTTTTTTGATTAACTAAGATTCATCGATTGGTTTGTTTACATAGGACTAAAGCAATTGCTTAGCCATTTCTCATTCGATCGATTGGATCTTTGTCTTTATCTGGTTTATTCCTTTCACTATGCATGAATCTTGTCATCACCTGCTAGGGTAACCCCAGGGAGCTTGTCTTCAAGATGATTTGCATTATGTTCATTAGCATATCTCATCGCTTGTGAGCAAAGAACAATCATAGAAAACCTCACTCTTTCAATCTTAGAAATTTGGGTTTGTGATGCAATGATGCTGTAAAAGAAGTCAACTGACCCATTGCAGTCAAAAGTTTTTTGCAATTCATGTATTTTCATTCAACGGGCATGTGTCTGTCGAGTTTTAAAATCGGTTGCCAACCAATTCCACCAACACCCTCGATTGGACCAAATTCCTCAGGCATTAAAAAACGAACAATCAAATGTCACGATGGGCTCGACATGTCGCCTTATCTTGTGATCCCCAATGTGTCAGTATTAAGGGTTGCCTTGATTGCGACTCGAGTTTAGTCGTCGATCTGTCCCATCATTGTGTCTAGTTGTCTTTTCATGGTGGGACCTTAACAGACTTTTGCCAAGAGAATCATGTTGGAATCATTGACCCCGTCCTCCTATAAATAGGGGGGAGGCCTCTGCTGTCTGCACTCATGCTCAAAATAACTTTAACGGGTTTGTGCCGACTGGGAGAGTGCAAATGGCTTTCACGTGGAGTCAAAGTCGAAGGTAACCTTCTGCCGACATGGATGATGGGACTCGTCTGGACCATGTGTTACTTTTCTTTTTTCTCTGTGTCGAGTGTCAAAGGAGTGGATTTTCTTCGAGTTAGGTGTTTAATGCAACTTCAAACAAGGTGGGCTATTGAGGTCATCCCACCTCAGAAACGAGTGTAGTGTCTCATGGGGAAAGATTGCACTGGTAACACATTCCCATCGAGTGCAATACATCCATTCGATAACTACCGTCGAAGGTCTAGACGACTCTGAGGAGCTAATGGGGGGAGTAGATCTCGGTAGCATACCTGCGGGAAAATCCTCTCCCTGAGCTGATGGGGAGTCCCTTGGAAGCACTGACAATACGCTACCAGTGGGCACCATATTCATTCAACGACTGTTGTCATAGGTTGAACTGGGATGATCAACTAACAACAACATCTCCTTTCTCCATTACTCTTCGAGCCTTCAAACTTTCCTCCGTTGTGGGGAAGATATGAGAGGATGGAAGGCGAAGAGAGTGGGTGCTCTAGTCGGGCGAGCTTCAACACAAAATCTTCGTCTTTCTCGTGCTCTCTTGAGGTTCTCTCCTTATAGAGAATGCAAATGCGGAGAGAGAGTGCGAGGTAAAAAAAGGGAGTTCTTCCTTCAGAAGTTTGTTATTTATAAAAAAATTGTAACTGATGTACATTTTTGTTTCTTATTACTTAGATGTTTTGTACCTTTCAATCGATATAAATGAGATGCCTAATTTTATTTTGTATTTGCTTCTTCCACTTGTTGCACATGGTCGTTTGTATTATTGGATTTTATTATTCTTTTTTCTTGCTTAATCATCATATTTTTATTTCTCTCGCTTATAAAAATGACGTTGCCTATGAGCCGCTAATCATTTGGGACCGTGATAGATTCACTCTCAGAAAACTTAAGGAAGTTTCATATGAAATAGACCATCATTTAATAGCCTCGTGCAAGTCATCGCTTTAAATTTAAGCAAAACTCATTGGATCAAGAGTATTCTTGAGCAAACCCCAAGATGTGATTAACCAAGTGGGATATGTTTCCTTGGGGGCACTCTGGACAATAGAATAGACAAACACACATGGATTTCTGGTTTGAGCAGTCTATATAAGCAATATTTTGTGGATATTTGGCTCAAGGTGTTTTCATTCAATTTTTTTTAAGGAACGCTCTTGACATATCACATGATGTTTATCGCACACAGACTCTTTACGTTTATTTCTCTTGTTTGTCTGCGTTGTCGTATGTCATTACCTTCTGATTTATTGTTTCCTCATATGATTTGAAATAGTGACTTACTCAGAAAATATAATTATAT